TGTACCTTGAAGGTGCAAATCGCATATCGAAAATGGAGAAACTGGAGAACCCTGACGAACACCACTAGTTGTTGGAAAGGCATTCAACAAGTTACCGTATACACTGACGTGACCTGGGGTGATCGAGTACAGATCGCGTAAAATATTCACAAATTTCATGGGAACACCTTTCCGCGCAAGTACTTCGGTCGACTGAATCGAACGCACTCTTGAAGTCGAGGAACACAGCTATTGTCTGTCTGCTGTATGCGTGACGTTGCTCTAGCACCTGCTGCAGAGTGAATATGTGGTCTATACAGCCCCATCCTGGGAAACCTGCCTGCTCTTCCCTTATCCGGGATTTCCGTTTCGCAGTGGGGCGACGAACGAGAATTGTGGCTAGTACTTTTGTCAAAGCTGGCGTTGGGCCAACATCTTTGTGGTTATCATAGTCGGTGCGACCCCCTTCTTGTAAATTACCAGTTTAATCGATCCACTCCAGTCAGCCGGGGTGGTCTCTTCCTTCCAGACCTGTTCGAAAGGGGACGTCAGGGTTTTGCAGAGACTTCCAACACCATCTTTAAATAGTGCGAGTGGGAGAGAATCCGGGTCAGCAGCTCGAAAACAGTTGAGGTCTGTGATCGCCTTTCGGCCCTCAGCCTCCGATGGAGCCTCTAAACTACTCGTCCATGACTTATTCTGCATCACCTGAGTAGGAAGCTTTCCGGATGCAAAGCGCCAACTGAACTGATTTTGACAGTGTTCAGTCCAACGAGCCATACGGCGCTCCTTATTGTGAATCAAAGCATCCGTGTTGTCTCTGATCGTCTCACTGATACCCGGTTTCGTGGGATCAGTTGGGCGGACCAGCTTGCGGCAATTGCCTACTGTTCCCGCCTCCTCCATTTCTTGAGCCCGACTAGTCCATCAGGCTTCCTTGTCAGCGCGCAGGCTCCGCTTTACTTCCCGTCTAATGATCTGCCTAGTTACATTGTGCTCAGAGTCAGCCGGTAGGTTTCTTTTGGATTCCAACAGGTTCACCGACGTCTCGGATACCTAGTGACTGCTGCGGTGATGATTAATCGTACCACGAGAATATGCTCCACTGTCCTGCATAGCGGCCGAGATCCTATTCCACTGAAGCTCAGTGTCATTAGAACAAGGGAGCGAAAGTTCGGCACGCAGGGCATCTTGGCAGATTTGCCTGACCGAGGGCTGGAATAATGGTTAATGACACATCATCCCTACAAGCAACGTATTAGTCTAGTCTCACAAGATGTGTGATACACGCCGAATTGCACTTCATTGTTCCTCAATCCATTCATCCGGTACCTAATAGTACTACGATTTATCTTGGCCCCATGAGCATAGCCAAATGAATTCCTCCAGCATTTGTGCCGTCCCCCTCATTATTCATCAATTTCTGGGGTCGTTTTTTGTTGATCTAGAGGCATTCACCGTCGGAACTCATATTTGGTCTCACATACGCTTGTTGTTAGCCTATGGACCTCTTCACTGTCATCAGGGTTAGTTTGCCTGCGAAACACAACTGTGCCACAGACGGAATTTTCAAGAATGCATGCATTAACTTGCTCTGACAATGATAGCTCGTTCATTGGGGGTGTTGTAGTTGCACCTACCCACCCTAATCTCGCCACATAGGGATCAATATGTAGTGTGAACGACTGTTGAGGGCATGTGTCGATCTTTCTTCACTACCCTCGAGTTTCCATGGCAACCGATACACATCTGACTATGTTTGTAGTCTAGCCCGCTGGATGTTGCTCTTTTGGTGCGACTGTACAACGCATCCATCTTCGATCACGTGTGACACCGCTCATCTGAGGTGAATGCATGGATCAGTTTTGGAGGCTTTAGATTGCGCAATCATTGGCGCCACTAATCACCGCATTATCGGTTCTTTTTCCAGGTGTTGTACATGCTACTTTTTGTTTTCTGATTCCATGGTTTTGAATGGCTCGATGTCTATACCTAAAGATGGGTCTTTATTTATTTATTTTCGGATAACAACATTCCATCCGTAATGGCCCAGTCTCAAAATCAGTGGTGCTCTCGTAGTCGATCTTTTATTTCGTGCTATAGGCATTTTATGTACGATTATTATAGCTCTTTTCCCGACACTTTCTCTTTGAACTTTTTAAATAAATAGATAACTTGTATATTTTCGTGTTCAGCGAGCAACGCCTGTGACAGAATGTTTGGGTAATTGATAACATTTTCTAGTGTAACGTCTACAAATGATAGGAAAGTGTACAACGGCGATGCAAATCGACTTAATTTTGTCGGGGCATAAATGTTAACTGTAGTTTCAGTGTTGTCTGATGCTGTGTATTTATTTCTTTGCATTTCTTTCTGTTTATCCGGTTACTGCACTGGTCACGTGATTTAAGACGAAACTGACTCCATCACACTTCAATGTCCTCAAATCTTTAGTGATCAAACACAGCATAGAACCATTTCTGTCTCATAACATTCGACTATATGATCCAATCAGTTTTGAGCTTCCAATCGATCCACCGAGGTTTCTTGCCCTGCACGCACTGTCCAGGCTAGACTCCGGTTCACTGGTTGGCTGGGCGTCTAGTAGTTCCGAAACACTGCGTAAATGATCCCGATACTTGTGCTACTTGTCGTGTCTACAGGAGAGTCGGCAACCAACTCTTTTTTGGGACCTTCGGTCTATCGGACTGTGCACTAGCAACTGAAGTCCATCCTAGGCTCAGATTCAACTGAACTACTAGTTATACGTGAGCCTGTCCACTGCTAGATCAAATGCTGGACAGCCTTAGGCTGATTTATCTTGACGCTGATTGATCTGATAGCGGGAAATGTAACCACTGACCGGTCACTTAGTGCAGTTGGCCCTTTTTACCTTCCAGACTGGCGTTCACAAAGGCTTTCCGACATTATCCACAAACGCGATCTGTCATTCTGTTTCTTCCGACTCAAATCTTTTATCTGACGATTCTGCTACTTTTTGCCCCTCTCCTTTTAACCTGCTCCTTCCCTTTTTCATTATTCACGATTTATCCATCTTTTCTCCGTTGTAATCTTAGGAACGGTTTGTTTTTCCGCCACATTTCGGCGCACGCTCCACAACCGTTCACCCGAAACTAATTTCATACAACAGCTGCACATGGCTTGTCCTTGAACAGGAGACCTAACTTGGTTCATTGAGGCCTCGCGTGTACTTCACTCACCAGGAGGTATCTGTTAAGACCATGATTTCTAAATTGTGTTTGAAAGATTCCTTCGGATGGATTGGTATAATATCAACGCATTCGTGATAGTGTGAATTATCCTGTCTAATACCACTTTTTTTGCTCAAAGTTTTACACGATCTGCCACTCACTAACGGGCATAACATATTAGCGTCTTCGGAAATGTTGAGCCCTCTTCTAACTGGTCGCTCAGTGGCCATTTGCTTTCTTTTCTATTTGGCTCATACGTCTTACCGTGCATTTCTGCTCGTCCCCCCCCCCCACTCGGTGCGGGAGAGCGTTATTCGGTTGGCCAACCCTGACCCTTATTTCTCAGTAACCTAACCAGTGGTGAACGGTTAACTACGTATGTTACCAGTTGCTTCTGGGTTATGGCAACCAGATTTAACGTTTCTCTGTGGTCAACAACCTTTGTTTCGATCCACTTGTCCACTAAGCATAGGGAATGGTGCCGACACAAAAAGAAGGGAATTAGCTGCGCGACACTTTCCCGGCTATCTGTTGACTACTTGTATAAAGAGCATCATCATCATCCAATGTATGGAGCGATATTGACTGAGGATGCGGCAAATGGAAACTGCGAGTCATACATGGCAGTGGTGGCGCTATTCAACTGACATTCGAGGTCGTTAAGGTAACAGGTCGAATGTCGAGTACGTAGGTATCCTGGTAGGTTTACCTGGCTGAAACTTGGGCTATCTAGCATTTGACAGTCGTTGCTCCGTTTTCTAGCAACATTCATGCATAATAAGTAGTTTAAAGAACATATTCAGAGTCAATGCACGTGTTTCAGTGCAAGCGGCAATCCAGGATGGAAACGAACCACCTGGGACTTAGGGCGATCCATCGCTGGCCAGCTATCGATAGACTCCATGTGCTACATGGTCGTCCTCTACCTGAAGGCAGTGCTGCTAAGAGAAAGCCGTTGTTTGCCACACACTCGCGGTAAACGCTCGCTCTTGCTCACGATTTCGCAATTTGGCCCAACCTTACCACCTGGAGTAGCATCTGAGAACCTGAAACAGCTTGTTTGTGCATCCATATTCCCCACAAATGGAATGCTATCTGTACTCGTAGTACTGCGAACTAGCTTGTCAACTTGATAACGATGACTCATCAACGTTACATGTGGCGTTACCGCAAACACCTTTTCACTGGAGTAGCTTACTGGTGTTTCTCGCTTGTTGTGTGTTGTTTACGGCACAATGCCATCCATCCGTCCCCATCTTGTGTGTCAGTCATCTGTTACTACTTTCTGGCTCTTGCATTCGGTTTTCTTTGGTTGCTTCAGTTCATCTGCCTCATCATGACAGCGGAAGACGAGCAGAAGCATTGTATTTTGCTGCTAACTGCGACGGCACTTGCACCTCAATGTTAACAGGACGTTTATTAATAATTCATCATTTCTTTCTTGTATATCTCGATTTTACTGCGGCTCACCATGCATGCATTCCTCGATGCCGACCCCTTGCCTTAAGGATCACAAGTTTCCCTTGTAATTGGTGGATACGGGTTCGAGCCTGTGTAGAGACCGGGCAGCCTTCGCGGTATCCTCAGCCTGCGTGAGACTGATAGCGGTTGCGCAGCAGCGAAACGTCGGTACTGCGTGCCGACGTACTGCTTATGTCTTCTTCTTCCTCATTATGTGTCCGCCATCGTTTGCGAACTTCCATACTTTTTCTCTAATCCTGCTAATGGCAGCGAGGCACCAGTACATTAGGTAACGGGCTATATCTTGTTCGTCAGCGATGCTTACGATTCGAATCAGATAGTATTCCTATGCACCTATCACTTGCTCTCCTTTTACTGTCGGGTGTTAAGCGTTTCCCCTCCCCTTTCCTCAGGTGCTACTGCAAGCGTATGGGAAAGTCAGCCCCGTCCCCACGCGTTACCGACGCCCCTCTCCAGAGTGGAACTGCCGACGCAGGTTTGAATACCAACAACCTTTACACTGGGCGGAAGGCTCTTGAAATCTGTTCGGCTACCGTCAATTCTGTTCCGCCTGTCTTCACTATGTTCAAAGGTGAGTCACAAGTCGATCGCTATTCCGCGTTGTGGAATGTTGCCTCAAACCGTCTATAATTAATCGAGATACGGATGAGGCACATCAACAACCAAACTACTTAGTTTTCCCCTTTCGTGCCGATACATTCACCTTTTGGCTAGGATTTCTGACCCCAAACCCATCAAGCTTACTTCCCTGACACGGTGACGCTAGTTGGCTGAGCAAGTTGATCTTTTCACTCTTCTCTGTGCCACCTACCACATGTTTCTCACTGCTGCCTATAATCTGTAGACCAAATTCTGACCAGGCTTTTTGAGTAACTGGCTACTCGGAAAACTAGTGTCCATTCGAGTCTTCATGCACCAGACTGAATTAATTTTCCGCATTTGAACTCAACGATTTGTTACGTACTTGTTTGAGACCGCTCGTGCAGTGGTACCTGGGCTGCAACTCGCACACAGGACGTAGAGACTACTAACCAGACTCTTTACCCCCCCCCTGGCCACCGAGCTGCTTACAGTGTTTGCCACAAAGGTTGACGGTTTATTCTTCGTTTTGTTTGGAGCACCTAAGTAGCCTCAGATCTCACCAGCAACTAATTCGGTCACTGGGACTGTATCTTGATCGCACCGCTTTTCGCATTCCCTTCAGTCGATTGGTTTATGTCAACGACTGGTCACATCCCTTTGAAAGGTATATTCTCTATAGTTATCGACCACGGATTCACTTTGGCTGGATCAACAGCTAAGCGTGACACGAACGACATGACAGGATGGCGATACTTTGAAATGCGGCAGAACAAAACTTGTTCATACAATTGACACTGTTGCGTACTTTAATATCCTCTGCTATTTAGGAAGAATGATAAGCGTCATTCATTGCGTTGAACTAATGATGAATCTATCAATAAATTGCCTGTCGTTTACTTCATGTCTCTTCAAATTACATGAGGCTTGGAGAAATGACGAGAGGCATTATATAACCATCGGAGACGAGTGCGTGGAGTTCTAAGTGAAAAAAACCACCGGGCATCAAACACATTTTTACTTTTGTAGCCTAGAAGGTTAATTACCTGTCTTTGCGAACAGTTTCGCAAACTGGCGGTGTCGATGTAAGATTTTGCGACATGGGACAGTGCTTTGTTCATCAGCGTACTGCTAACGTGTGGCTTGATTGTTCCCAGACAAATTATAAAGCTCTTGTTTCGAAATATTTGTATAGGCTAAGCACAGCGTACGGATCCAACGACACTCTTATCCTATTCATCCTTCAAGAATATTCTTCACTGTTTTCGCCCAATCGGATCGGTACATCCGAACGCATAATGCATGGCACTTCACTCATTCCGAGTCTCCTCAGCATTAAGCATCCCATTCGCCCGTTGAAGGGTTGGGGTCACAGCTTTCCTCTTACGAGACCGCGGTTAATCACTGCTTATCAACCTCAGATTACGGCTACAAAGTGCGGCACATGCTATGCTTCCAATTCGTAAGTGACGGAACTGGTCCCGAGAGACGAATTCCTTCACTGAGTCACTTATCATCCGGCATCGTGATACATCACTTTGTCCGACTACTGATGTCTTGGAAGTAGTGTGATTTGGCTTTGGACCAATTCCTGTTGAATTGCCCAAGATGATGCCTCAGTGTATTTGCCCCGGAAAGATTGTGCATGTATTTAAGTTCCTTGTAGCTGAAGGGAAGCTGAGGTAAACGCCATTTTCTGAAAAACACCTTAATCATCCAGATCGAATGGAACGTTTTACCCTTTCACCGTGTAGGATGAGTGCAATATACAAATCAGTCATTTAACTGTCCGCACACGTTTCATCTGATACCGTTTTTAAGCGGCACTCTGAACGAGTTTGTTTATCAGGGTATTTTTCATTCTCTGATATGTCGCTTTTTATCCCATATGGACTCTATGGAATCTGCACCAAACCTTGAGCATTGCTGACTTTAAGCGGGGTGTTAGACATGGTCTGTTTGATCAGCAGCGAAAATCCGAAGAATAGAAATGTTTCAAATTATCTTTGCAGTATCTGAATGTACGTGTTTGGTTCATTCTTTTGAATTCCTTCCAATGGACGTTGATGTTGTGCTGGTCGGTTTCCCAGTGGAACTCACAAAACCTTTAGTACAACTTGCTATTCATGGTTATCAAGGGCAAACTCCTCTGTAATGCAACCGGCACTAGAGCCCCGGGTCACAATTTCTTATGACTGTGATGTACTTGATTCATTGCACCTATGGGTGGTGGGGTAGCGAAATTCTCCAAGGGATCCTTTTTTACTTCTACTGCATTTTGACCCAGTCACATGCTTCGGTGTAGTGTGTGTTCTCTCGACCGAATATCGTATTTTGTTCGACTAATTGTTCTTGCACTATGATTTCCATACAATCAAGTCTTTACCTCTGGCATGTAAGGTGACTGGTGGTGCTTCGGCAGCACTTAACGGGACCTTACTGTCGTTCAACCTCATTATTTGCTCGAAATTCACTGTTGGTTGTGTTCTCCTCTATACTTTCCATAATCACCTTTGCTGCGACTCAGTTGTCATTGACGAACCTGACGATCGATATGATTACTTAACACAGTGCCCATTCGTCCGATTCCACTGTACTGATTTATGGTTCTACACAACTAAATACCTAAACGGTATATTCTTCGGTGTTGCGAAACACTGTCCAACTGAGTGGTCTGCCAATCGTTGTTGATTTATGTGGACTGGTGCACAGTTTTCGGGTCTGGGCGGAGTGGGCTCATAAAGGAGGAGGGAGTTTTGTGTTTACATTTCCCTCGGATTTTGCACCAACGAGTGCCTAACATGCACCCTTCCACTGTGGATCCAATGCTTACAAGCACACCTCCAAACAGTCTTCTTCATGGCGCTTATTGTGTCCACAGTCTGTATGCTGTCCTCAGCCCGTTCTTTTGGTACGCACTCACACTTCGCCCAAGGGTGATATGGATGCTAGCTTTCGTAACGCTACTTTTTCCCCCTGCTCTCTGCCACTGACAACTTGTACTGCTTGCCTTGCTGTCCTGTGAGACTGCGATTGTCTGACTGCTCAGTCACGCGCCTAGCCCACCGAAGGAATACAAAAGGCAAGAACTCGGTAGACAGCATGAGAATAGTTCGGAATAGTTCGATTCCTTTGACGCAGTCTGGTATTTGCTGACCGATCAATTCTCACTCGATTCCCAAATTCAGCGGAAAGGTCAAAGCTCATAACGTGCCGCGCTGATGACCTTTGCATGTAACGGACAACCTACCTGCTCCGCTTACGCCTCCATTACCTCCCCTTTTGAAATGAGTATGCCAGTGTACCGTTCATAGGTTTTCGCTTTGGAATCAACTTGTAGCCATTGTGGTCGTCTCGGCTTTCGGGTCGGCCTGCATCATGTATCAGCTGGTGCTTGCAGGTTCTGTTGTGATCCATGTAGGCGCTCAGCTTCCTCCTCCAAACCAAACGTGTCCCACAGTAAAGATGGTTCCGAGGAACTTTCAGCCTTGCCGTGATTAGGCCTCAGCTGATTGGCGTGACTGACCCATTTCTCATTTCTTACCATTAGCTCTTAAATGACTCGACCCATTCTGCAAATCACTCTTCCTGTCGACCACCTCCTTGGTTCACGGAAGTCTGGCGCAAACGCCATGTAACCAATTATGAAATGACGGACCCTGTCTGTCCGATTCCCCCTCCAGATGACAACGGCAATGCTTTTCTTTCCTGCTTTGTCCATAGCGCTTTGCTCTGTATACTGGTTTACTGACTGGCTTGAGGTTCAGGGCAACACTGGTCATTCTGCAGCAGTCTGGACTAGACTGGAGCATTGCTTCGTGACGCCTTTTCATCTGCGTAATCTGACTTTGAACTATCAGACTTGATAGCAATGGCTGCGACAGCTGGATGACTTGCGGCGGCTGACATACAATGTTTATTGACTGATTAACTCATCCATCCAGTGGAGTCCCAGCAAATCTAACCCCGGTCGGTCTGTCACAAAACACCTTGTATGGATATGTTGGCCTCAGAAATTGACCTGACAGTTCACCAAGCAGTTTTAACGTACCACCTGAAGCATTCCTTGCCGTATGGGTCTTTTGTACGAGTGTCGGTCGTCCCAACCTACGCCACGTGTCGCTAGAGATCAGAGTGATATCTGAAGGCGTATCAAGTTGTAACTTGACTTACCTGCCATTGATATCCACCATGGTGTACTTACGCCTGTTGACGCCATCAACCTTGAAAGTCGCAGTGATCGTTCTGATCCCATCGGGCCGTCTGAACGGTGTGGCATTGTTGCGCTTCTTTCTGGACAGAGTAGGACCACGTGTCAAACAACACGACTCTTTATCGCCTCTTCTGCCCCATCGGTTGCAAGTATGATTCTTAACTGGACAGTGTCGAGCAAAATGCCATTCTCTACAAAACCAACAAGGAGAGGGAAGTTTGGAATGTGATGGACTCACGTGAGTTGGTGCTTTTGGGGAGTCCGGTTGACTGCACACATGAGGCCATGCTCGTTCGTATTGGACAACTGCTGCATCATTGATGTGTCATGGTTCAAGTTCGTCATTCTCTGGCACTCACCGGTCACTTGCTGCAACGTGATGTCAGGATTCTGCTCATTAATGCTCAATATTCTTGTTCGTATGTCCGCATCTTTGGCTGATTATAGGCCGCAAACGTGAATGAGGCATTTGTACCGGTCGGTGGTCATTTTGTGAAACTGTGAACTTTCGCACTCTCGATTTACACGGCTCGAGTAGGTGACCCAATCTTCGTCATCTTTCTTGGCCATCGTGAGGCACTTGTACCGGATGTTGAACAAGGATGTCTGCTCATCAAAAATTTGTGACAGGACTGAGACAACTTCGTCCAGGGATAGGTCAGTGCTCTTCTTTGGCAAGATGAAATTTGTAAACTTTTCATGTTCAGCCGCACCCAGCTTCCGGAGCATCAGGCGAATTTTCTCTTCTGGTACATTTTCGAAATCAACACGAAACATGTCTTCATACTTGTGAAACCAGGAAGAGGATGTCACGCCAGCATTCGCATCGTAATGGAATACACTGATTTGCTGTGTCAGGGAAAGGGGACCCTTTCACTTGCCCCTTAACCCAGGGCTGGACTGTATCGACAGCTTCTGCGTCAACATCTCAATGAGCTTGGCCTGCTGCTGCAAAAGTGCCTGCAATTGTTCGAAGCTGGCTGCCATTTCTGGGTTCAATTGAAACTCGCGTCGCCACTGTTGTAACGCTTCTTCTTTCCCTTTGCTCTCTGCCACTGACAACTTGTACTGCTTGCCTTGCTGTCCTGTGAGACTGCGACTGTCTGACTGCTCAGTCATGCGCCCAGCCCACCGAAGGAATACAAAAGGCCAGAACTTGGTAGACAGAGAGAATGAGAGTATAACTACACGATAGGTTAGCTCTCTATTGGTAAACGAAACATGCTAATTCAGGAGGTCAAGATCACTCACTCTTCTGTGTCAGGTTTTCAGCCAGTGTTAGTGAATCTCGCTCCATGGGTTAATCATATTGACGGAATAGTTCGATTCGTTTGACGCAGGCTGGTATTTGCTGGTTGACCAATTCTCACTCGATTCCCAATTTCAGCGGAAAGGTCAAAGCTCGTAGCACGCCCGTGCTGATAACCTTTGCCTGTAGCGGACAGCCTAATGCTCCGTTTACACCTCTATGCTAGCAAGGTGTAGATGGGTTCCCAGTGTATCGTGGCGCGTCCATCCGAATTCCTCCCGGTACCTGTTGGCGGCGCAACTCCTGTTCATCTGTTATTCACCAGCATCCTCTAGCACTGCTTACAGGGAGCCACAGATTCCCCTAACTGCTATTCCTAGTGTCTGTCACCACCAAAAATCTATACAAACATTCTACCGGTCTGTATACGTTCAGCGCTGCTCTCCCTCCCTCCCTCCCAACACTTCATCTCACTACCGGTTTCATCATCGTTTGCAGTCTGCAGTTAGTGATAGTTGTTGCTGTGAGTGGAACCGTAGACATTGAGGTTGATGTGTGATATTTTGAATTACTAGAGTAATGGGCTCCACGAGACTCGCTTGACATGGCGGTTCAAAGTGTGTTTCATACTAATCAACGTGTGTGTGGATTGCGACTAACAGACCCATTTGGGACCTAGGTTTACACTGAATTCATTGCGATCATTGGGTCCGCATCGGAAGTAAAGAGCCTCAGTGATCTCAACACTGTACTTTAGTTTGCTCAAAAATCTCACACACTGTGTACAAGAGGTGTCCTTCTGGTGCTCTGCTGTTATGCGTATGTCATCTAGATGTCTCTTTTATAAGTATAAATGTATTTTATTGATTCCACACAGCAGGCAGTTATCTCTTTTCCATCATTACTTCTCCTCTGTGGTATACCGTATCTAGGTCCGTTAGGTCTGAGACCCTGTTAAACGCACGTTGAACTCCAAAACAGACGGGCATCTTGCACCTACTGGCCTCATCTGCTCATCATTTTCGATACTTTAAGTATAAGTATCTCGCAAAACGTTGACTGACTAAAACACTGATTTCTCTACTCCTATTAGAAACCTTGAAGGGCCTGGCTCGTCCCGACTATTGGATTCCGGATCATCTGTGCAAGTCTTGCGCTATATGTGACAAGCCATTCGGTCCATCAAGGCACATTCACCATTGCCGCTCCTGTGGTCGGGGTGTGTGTGAACCCTGTTCACCACACAAACAACCCATTCCGTTGCGCGGACTGGACCTTCCTCACCGTATTTGCTCGGAGTGCTTCCGGTCGGCAGTTTGAGCACGTGTTTTCGTGGACTGGTACGACGGGCTTTATTTCCTACCCGCTTCGGGTTCAACAACGTGGTAGTCTCTGCTCGTCTACCTCATTAACCCCAGCTTTCCCATCCCATGTGTGCAGTTCCCGCCTATCTCTTTCACTCGGAGTAGACCCACTACAAACGCTTACACTCCCTGTGCTGTGTTTCGAACAGCATTCTCCCCACTCGCTTCAAATACTCCGATGTTTGTTTTGCTAGCCTTTTCTCGATCTGTGATTTTGTTCACTTTATTTTGTACTTACGTTACTGAGGCCACCGCATCTTGATCTCCTGGACCGTACGATCGGCTCTTCCTGACACTGGCTCGTGTTCTCGGCGCAGTGTCCGCATAAAAGTACTACACATCCCCACTATCACCAATATATTCTCGAACTCTCGCGTCTTGACGTTTGTGGCCGAAGAACATGCATCGCGCACACGGCTCATCACAATGGGGATTTTCAATTCGCCATCCGCATGTACTGCTGACTTTGTGACTCATTTTATCCTATTTTTCTACAAACTAAGTCATTCGAATTCGCATTACTCATCCTTTACCGTCGTCACACGCTGTACTATGGTGTTGTGTAACCCATTTCGATGTTGTACTATCTCATTTATCTATTTGTCTATTCATTTTCATCGTCGCTTCATCCATGTCTGCGTTATTTCTCGCGCTTACTTGGTCACCATTTTCGTCTAGCCTAATTTGCACGCGATTGCCACATTTCTTTCTTCAAACTGCACAGCACAATCGCAGCCGCAGTTCATAAATCTTTTAGTTCTTCGCTATATTGACTTTTACCTTCGCAATGGTCGGCGCTTCAGCTGAATCATAGTGTCTCACGCCCTTCAGTCGTTGTAGGGGGTGTTCGCCAGTTGTCGCTTCTGTATGATCGAATTGAAACGGTACGCTCATTCTGTTGCCGTTGGCTGAGTAGTTCAGGCGTCTTGACTATAGTCCACTGCTTCGAGCGCGGTAGGTGCAGCTGACATCGCTCTCAGGCAAGTGGTGGAAGTCGCCTGGCAGCAAAGATTCGGCGCAACTTACCGGCATACTGGTGATGCCTACGTTGCTTACTCACTTCGAATTTAAGACGCTACCTCAGTCGTTCTAAAATATCCTAAGTAAGGGGCCCAACACATCCGTTACGCGTGACGTAAGGACCAAACGAAAGTTGAACTATCCGTCACACGATTTGCGGTTCCATTTGCACTATCGCGTCGCAGTCTATTCAAATAGTAGGTGATTCTATGGAAAATTATTGCCCAATTACGACTCCCTGGCTGCATTGCATGCGCCGCACGCAGGACCAATTTTGTCCAGGTTCCTTAAACTCACTGTTTCGAGGCTCATTCCGTTTGTAACAACTCCATCCCATCTCTTTGATAACGTGGGCTGAACTTGCAGAGGAGTCTAAGTTAGACAACTTTTACAGCAAATCCTAATCGACTTCCCAGTCGTTGTAACGGGTGACACTCCCCAAACCTGTGGCCTACTAATCAATGCATCATCTAACAACCATTACTTTCTGGATTACATCCGGGCTGTCATTAGTTGCAAAGTTGGAATACGGGCGACATTGGTTAAGGGTGAAGTGTTAGGGGCGACCAACGCCGCTAGTGCCTCCACTTTAGGTGGAACCTAGCAACCTGAATCGCCTGTGCTCATCTCATAGGAAATCTTAATCCAGCCTGAGTCCGTGAATGTCTATATCCTACTGTTCACACCCGGAGTCATCTAATTCCTTGTAAGTCTCATTACTTACTGCTTGAACTTACTCGCTACCCCGTCAGTCGTTTGTATCGTTCCAAGTTAAGACTCACCACGTGTTCTGCATAGCCCAGTCTGTTTTCAGTTATCAATAATGCTTTTCCATCATCATTAGCAATCTTATTCTGATGCATCTCCGGAACTTCCCTATATTATCCATTTGGGCTACCATCATGAATCTTTGATGTCTCAGGCGACAGAGGAGGATCACTTTGATCTTAAATCCCTGTCCAGAATGTTGGCTTAACAGCCGTTCTACACATGGGTGAAGCCATATGCTTTCGGTCTGTTGTCGCTTCCAAACCGTCTACCTTCGTCGCCTACGAATCCATGCCCTTGCCAGCTGGCACCAGGTTGTTCTGCACGAATAAGGTATACAGACGAGAACTAAATGGTGAGTATCAACTAATTTCTTTAAATTAGCGAATATGAGCGAAAAAGTTGCACTGCATTGGGCCCGTGCTACCTGTTCCCTTCCGGCGCGTACCGAGGCTGGAATGGGAAGCAGCAGCACCGAAATCCTCCACTTCGGTGACGGTCCTAGTGTTCGGAATGATCGGCTGCCTTCAAAATCAAGCGAAGCCACAATTGCGATTGCATGTCTCAATCCAAGACACACGGCCGGTCCATTGGCTTGTAATCCGAGGACGCGGGTTCCATCCTGCTTAGGGACCGGGCGACACTCGCAGTATCCTTAGCCCACGTGCAACTGGTGGTGGTTGCGCGGCAGCAAAGCTTCGGTACTTCGTGCCAACGTACTGCTGATGCTCTATCCAAGACACATGGCGGGTGCTCTAATCCACACAATATGGCCTCATTTTGTTTACCGGATTTCAGATGACCTAAGAATCGCGATGTCCACCCGTTGATGGCGACTCAGCTGGCGTGCCTGTATTACCTCCTACGGACACTAACATACCCTTGTGCGATAGCTCAGGTGTTGAATGCCAATGGAGAATGCAGGGAAGAAAAAAGGTGAAGACAACTGCCAATCATCAACGGTGTTGTAACCTCATGATATTTCCCGAACCTGAGTTAACAGATGCTAGTCCTCAGGCTCGTTATGACCGCGACGTGGATTTTCTGCAGAGGCTGATTGATAGGCTTCTCGACGTGAATGAACAGGGGTTGCGGGTAAAGCAAACCACTCATCTTGGAAAGAGAGGAGGGGAAATCCCGGCCTCTGCGAGTCACGTTTGTTGCTGCAACGAGTCCGAGGCTGTTACTATCCCGTCTGGGTAGACTAAGGGGTCTAAAGATCCATATTCGTCCCGATTTGGATCCGTCGGACAGAGTTCCGCTATCTTGGAGTTGAAGCAGCGGGCTGATGGTGGAGAAACCGATCACAGTGTAAATTTTCGGGTAGTTCCCTGGATGAACAGATCGATGATGATTCTTGCGCTTTTGCCGGTTCTTACCGCGGTCTGCGCGTAGTCTTCACAAATGTTTGTAGGTTAATGAACAAACGTGACGATGTATTTCGCTTCGTTGCCTCACATCGTCCGGACGTACTAAGACTGGCCGAAACCTGGTTAAATCCTGAGGTCACTACCCAGGAAGTCCAGATCAGTAGCTACTCGTGCTTCCGGCGCGACAGACGATCAAAGCGGCCTGCTGTCATACATTCGGTCCTCGTTGTGCGGAAGACTGGTACACATCTACCTTACTGAAGATGGCTTGTGCGAACAGTTATGGTGCTCGATCCGCCTGAGACACGGTGAACTGTTTGTGCGTGCGGCTTCTCGCGTCCGCCAAGTCGATGCCTGGATTCGTTGCCGCATGCGAGAAACTACATGAGTCGGCCCCGCTTCCTGCTTATGGGTGATTTTAACTTCGCTCGAATACGGTGGCCTGAGGTTCAACTTCTCCCCGGGCACTGTAAAGTCGAGGCGCATCACATGTCTGCCAACCGACGCGCGTTACACCGCATTCCGCTGCATCGTGCCTAGACCTACTACTAACGAGTTGCGAGCAACTTGTACATGAAATTCAGGTCCTGGAGCCTTTAGCAGCTAGTGACCACTCGATGGTGTTGTCCAGCCTAGAGCTGCCGCTGACCTACTCTCGTCTGCCAGAGCCGTCCTACAATTATCGGAAGACCGACTTCAATGGTCTAAATCGAGCCGCCAGTAAAGTAGACTGGTCCCTGCCTCAGGATTCATCTGTTGAAGCCTGTTGGTCTCTTATAAAAGAGGGTGTGCAATCGATGTGCGCTCCTTTCGTATACGTTAAGCATCGGATAGCTGGAGCAGTGAAGCCACAGTGGTTCGACAGACAGTATAGTCGATTGGCTCGACGGTTATACGAATTGTGGAATAAATCTCTCGTGTCTGGCTCTACCGACGATTATATGGCGTGCAACAGGCAGCGGAATCTATTCAACAGCGCGAAAGCGTCGGCAGTTTGAAGAGGAGTTTGCAATCTCAGCGAAGACGGTCCCCAAGACGATTTTTTGCTTACATGAAGCGGCGCCTGAGGCCCGCAGGTGACGTAGCTGTGTTAGACGGCACTGATGGACAGCCTTTGAACTCCAGCATTAAACGTGCATCTGAATTGGCGAAGCATTTCGCTTCCGGATCTACAAGTTGGCATGCGCCTATGCTGATCTCGACGTGTGCAGCGCCTACTGAACTCGAGGACCTTGATTGCGTTGTAGATGTCCGCAGTCTACTCGGCAGCCCTGATCGCACAAAACCTGCCGGACCCGATGGACTTCGCCCGCTAATTTTGAAGTCCTTATTGGCCATTATCTCGCCTGCCGTAACGGGTCTGTGCAACAGATCATTGTCTGAGGGTGCATTGCCGAGCGACTGTAAATGCTCAGTAGTGAAGCCGATTCCAAAAGATGGTGACCCACGCAATATGGACAATTACCGGCCGATTTTCTCACCTCTTTTAGCGAAGGTGCTCGAGAATATTGTGAAAATGGGTTTTCTCCAGCTGCTGCAGTCGAAAGATCTCCTAACGCCGACACAACACAGCTTCATGAAGGGCTGCTCATGCGTCACCAACCTGCTGTTGACGCGGCAGGAATGGTTTCAAGGGTTGAATCGGGGGGGTCAGTTTATATTATCTACATTGATATCTTGTAACATATTTGGAACCGATCGGGAAGTCATCATTTCAGAAAACTTGGTAGACGACCGGTTAATGTATTTATGGTGATGGACAACGTTTCGCTTTTGACACAAAAGCCTGATGAAGCTTTTGTGTCAAAAGCGAAACGTTGTCCATCACCATAAATACATTAACCGGTCGTCTACCAAGTTTTCTGAAACGATTATCTGCATTGATTTCAGTAAAGCTTTCGATAATGTGCACCATGAAATTCTGCTCCACAAGCTGTGGATGTGTGATGTTAGTGGCGCACTGCACCAGTGGATCAGGTACTTACATACTGGAAGAAGATGGCGAGTTCATGTATATGACCATCTAACGGAATGATACTCGTCCACTAGCGGCGTACCCCTAGGCACAGTACTGGGGCCCAATTTATTCCTGATCCACATCAACGAAGTACCTCAGCTTTTTCGGTCGCCCTGCGCATTATTTGCGGACGAACTGAAGATTTGGAGGATCATTGATTCTCCCGGGGACTGCGACATCTTTCAGCAGGACCTCGACCGCCTGTCCCGGTGGTCAGCAGAAGTTGACCTACCGGACAACATGGCCAAGTCCTCGTTTATCAGCCTGGGGAGGGATATTAATGCCTGTGCCTACACCCTGGCTGGCGACCCGCTGTATCCCAACAATTCAGTAAAGGATCTAGGCGTACTCTCACGCTGTGATCTGAAGTCTGTCGACAACACGAACAGCATGTACGCAAACGGACTAAGCCTGTTTTGGGCACCTAGATGCAGCTTCTGCACCTGGTCTGAAGAGATTGCCACCCGTCTGTTCTCTTCCATAATAAGACCGGTGCTTGAGTACGGCTCACCCGCCTATTGCCCGATCACAATAGGTGTGGTGCAGAGACTGGAACGCGTCCAGCATGTAGCTGTCCGGCTTTTCCCTATTT